AATCTTTTAAAAAAAAAGAAGCAATTAAGAATATGATCAAAGATTGAGCTACAAGATTTGCACATTAGTATTGTTTATAATGGCAAAAATTTGGAAAAATCTAAAGCCCAACCAGAAGGGATTTATTAACTAAATCGTAGCCCATTCACAGAAAGGAACACTAAGTAGCCATTAAATGTTGTAGAGCAATATGAACTCACTTTAAGGAGCAATGTTTAAGTTAATTTTTTCAAGCAGGTTACAATAAAGAATAGTATGATATAATATCATTTTCCTAAAAGAAATTGATAATGTACAATAAATAATATATTGGCAAACCATATGTACCATATGTATATAATACATGATATTAGATTATTCACCAGACACGTGGGTGGACCAATCGCTCAGTAAATAGACAGGTAGATAGCTCTACAGCAAGCTAGAGAGCCCGGAAGGAAGTAAACGAAATTGTCACAGTGATCTTTTCTGGGATGCTGGAATTAATACAAGTGATAGTAATCTTTACCTTTTGTTTATCTGTGTTTTCTAAAGTGAACTTCTTTTACTTTTATAAAAAGAAAAATGAACTTGCCAAAAATGTATATTCCTAATAAGATGTGTCTATCAAATATGAAGGTAGTCCTAAAAAATTGGCCCCATGATAGCTACCACTCAGAGCCACTGCTCCTTCAAGTCACCCTCCGGAGAGGGGGTAGTTGCCACGGACTCGCACAACCTGTGTTGAGGCTTCTATCACGTGGCCATTTCCAAGTCACTGCTTACAGATCTTCAAGCCTTGGTAGAGCTTGCAACTTCCCTACTCTTCTCTTCATTTACATATGTAAGGATTGTTCACCCCAATAGCCCCCAGGCCACTTTGTTAATTTGCTGCACGGTCTTCAGCTTCCAGGTTACCTGGCACAAAAGCACAACATCAGAACTTGTCAAAGTGGCAAAGCCAAGGCTGGAGGATTCACGTTGTAGGCAATAAATTGTCCATCCCCAGGGACCTCTTTCAATACTTTCTGCCCTTGAAACTCCACATATTTACATTTCTGAATGGTACCATACTGCAGGAAATGCTATATTATGATTTGATTGGCAATAGCCCTCATGAGGAAGAGTTATTCAACTCATGATAGATTTGTAGATGTGAAAGATGAAAAGGAAAGGCTTATTTAAGTATGTATGTTATCATGATCTCATCATGTTTTTTTTTAACTAGTAATAGGGAGAATATGAAAACAAATGATAGCACTTCAAAGCATTAAAACATTGAGTTACCCTGGCATTCACGAAATTAAATCCATATGGTCGTGATCTATTACTGAATTCCATCTGCCGGGTGCCTGGGTGGCTCAGTTGGCTAAGCGACTGCCTTCGGCTCAGGTCATGATCCCAGAGTCCTGGGATCGAGTCCCACATCGGGCTCCCGGCTCAGCAGGGAGCCTGCTTCTCCCTCTGACCCTCTCCCCTCTCATGCTGTTTCTCTCTCGCTTGCTCTCTAATAAATAAATAAATAAATAAATAAATAAATAAATAAATAAAAGCTTCAAAAATAAATAAATAAATAAATTCCATCTGCGGTTATTTTAGTAGGATTTTTGAATCATTATTTGCGAGATTAATCTCTTCTTTTCCTGCTGTCCTATTCAAGATACTTTTTTTTCTCTTTTCTGTTTAATTGATGATTATTACTTTGTGGGGAAAAAATAGAAAGCTTTTTTCTTTAAATCACAGAAGCAAAGACTGAAACAAAGATCCTGTGCAACCTATTTATTGAGAGATTTCTTCCAGAAGAAACCAGTGAGGCAGGGATGGAAGCAGGATAGGGCAGATGAAGAAATCATGCCACAGCCTCTATCTAATCCCATAGGGAGCTCCAGCATGTAAATGGTGCCACAGAGCTGGGCCACCTTGAGGCAGGGGGACTAGGGTTTGTCCCTTCACCATAGGGCGTCATTTGCTGTGGGATCCTCCAGGGAAATGAGCAGAACCTCTCAGGTATTTCTGGGTGAGGTGGCTCCCAGAGGCAGGCGCAGTTCTCCTGTGCAGGGTGCAAGTGTGAGCCATTAGCAGTCAATAGTCACACCAGCTCAAAAATGGATACTCTGGACTATGAAAAGAGATCAAGGTGAGACGCCAAAAGTATCTACTAAGTTTCCTTATTTTTCTGTGCTCTGGAATATTTAAGATATACTCCAAATAATCCATCACTTAAGGGACTGAAGAATTTATTAATGGACAGAGTATGAGATAGGTATTTACTGACTGGAAAATTCTTTGACCACATCCCCAGTTGTGTCCTTGACAACTGGTCTTCTTGGATTTTCTTTTTCTTCCAAAGTCAGCTTTAATTATTTGTATTTTCTTTTCTTTTTTTTTTTTAATTATGTTCAAGTAGCCAACATATAGGACATCATTAGTTTTTGATGTAGTGTTCAATGATTCATTAGTTTACATAACCATTACTTCACCCAGATTTTTAAACTGTTTATAATAAAGTTGCACAATGTAAATTACCATAATTTTTTTATTTGTTTCTTTAGTTGGGCCAGTCCTCAAGTTATGGTGGCTGCAGTATGGCACCTTTCCTTCTGGTAATTTCTGTGCACAAAATTGAGAGATTGTCTGCTCCCTTTGGGGATAATCTTTTGATCCTGAAAGAAGTGTCTACTTGATTCCACTTCTGGAATTCATTTCCAAGTCCTCTTTTTTTTCCTTCGCCAATTCTACTATATTCATTCTGCGGTAAAGTGAGCAGAAAAGAAATGCCCTCTCCCTGAGTCTTGATTAGCAGTGATGCTTGCATGTCAATGTGTAACAAAATGGACTGAATCCATTGTTCCAGTGTTTACTATAATTCTCTCTTTCCCAAGGCCTCTATTAGGCTGGAACTAGCGTCAATTAACAGCCTTCTTACTGTGCTCAGAAGCCTCCTAAGGCTTTATTAAAAGAGGCAATGACTTGATGCTGTGTCAATTTATCTAAACCCAAACAACATTTCCCCAAATTCCCTGCCTATGTGGTTCTAGATTAGGACTGGCCACAGAGAAATTTCATTGAGATTTGAGAAGTGGAACTGTATCCATAGTCATTTTGTTAAGCTCTTGAAAGTAGGTGTGTGGCCAGCCACTGATGCCGCTCATACACATTGTCATTGCTCTCCTGGCTGACTTGGATGGTGAGGGGCAGCAGCTGGGCTTGCAGCTCATTCAGGTTCTACCAGATCTCCTCCTTCAGCTTCTCTCTACACCTGGACCAGGTGTGTTTTCAGCTCCATGGGGAGGGGCACCAGCATCTTCTGTAGGCCACCCTCTTCATTGGAATTTTATGAAGTGAGGGATAGACATGGGTATCAGCTCATCCTTGCAGGTTTCATTTTGCCCTTGGTCTCTGCCACTACATTCGATCTTCCCTTCCCAACTGTCTATCTAAGACCAGACACAAAGGCACCAGCCTTCCATCGACACTTAATAAGCTCCAAGACAGTTTAAGGTCTAATCCTATAGAATTTAGAGTAGGTTTTTTTCTTCTGCTTGATCTCTAAGTGATACAAATGGTCAAGCTCATTAGGCCTGGCTCCTTCTTACCAAAAAATAAATTTTTGTCTAGAAGCTACCGTAGAGCCCCTGAAAATCTACTTCTTTAGGGAGAATCTATAAATTTGTCAGATGCTGAGCCCCACAGCAGAGCCACTCTAGGTTTAAGCTGAGATCTCCTTGCTATGTACATTGTTTCAACTAAAAATCGTAACATTGTGGGACGCTTGGGCGGCTCAGTCGGTTAAGCGGCTGACTTAGGCTCAGGTCATGATCTCAGGGTCCTGGGATCGAGGCCCATGTCAGACTCCCCACTCAGTGGGAGTCTGCTTGTCCTTCTCCCTCTCCTTCTGCCCCTACCCCCCTGCTTGTGTGCGTGCTGTCTCTCTCTCTCAAATAACTAAATAAAAATCTTTAAAATAAATAAATAAAAATAAAATTCATGACATTGCAATGTAGATATTATTTTTCAACTTTATAGATATTAAAAAAACAAAGCTCAGAGGTATGTATCTGGCTTAAAGTGACACGGTTGATAGGTTACAGAGTAGGTCCATTTGAATCTAGGCAGGGGCTGTATCTTCCATGTTATGTCCCAAATCAGTCAAGACAGCCAAGGCAAGGCAATCAAAGACAATAGTCCAAAAACCCACTGGCCATAGAGACTCCCCGTCTTCAGTTTACTTCTTTGAAGCTTCAGCCTCCTCTATCCTGCCTTTCCTCCCAACTCCTAACATCTCCCTTTTGGGGGTGTGAGCCTTAAAAATACCTTAAATGTGCAGGCAACCAGGGTTTGGGAAATGTGGCCTGCTAGTTTTAGACACCTCCTTGCCTGAAAGAGTGCTAACTGGAAGTTCTAACTACCATCTTTCAACTCCACGCGGGCTCCAATTGGTTCCTTGGTCCTTGTTCGTGTATTTTAAGTCCTACCTCCCTAATCTGTCTTTTGACTATTATACAGTTTTAGTACAGGAGGTGACCTTAGAGATAATTTTATAGAAAAACCTCTTTTTACAGGTAAGAATACTGAACTCAGAGAAGGAAAGTGATTCTTTCAAGATCACACTTTATGATATGCCATGAATATTGAAGGGAAACCCATTGTCTAATTATGATTAGAAGCTAAGGGAAGTGCCAAGGACCACAGCCACTTGACATGCGCTAGGCACATGAAAAGCTAGCTTATCCTACTTATTCTTCTGAAAAGAAGAACATCAAGTACCTTCAGGCCTTTATATTGACTAAACAGAACATTTTGCTGTTATACTTGGTTTAATCCCCCTGCCTCTAAAACCCATAAGAAGTCCATTTTTCCCCAGTGTCACAGCCAGCTCTGCTCTAACATTGCAGCAAATTAAAAAGTAATTACCTCAATAATGGGTTAGTTGCTGAATTTAATCACTCTGAAAAAGTACTTGACTTTTCCATTTATGGAATAATAAAATGTTGCATTTCTGTGTGGTCCATCATTTACAGGTCCCTAAGAATTTTATGCTTTGGTGACATCGACTGACATTAACGACAGAAACAAGTGGATGGATGGATGGAGCGAGAGTATCTACAAGAGCGGAAGAAGGCTGGGAACCAACAGGATCTAGGGAGCTAATTTTACACTTACCAAGGTAAGGGGTAATAACAAACAGAAAAACAAATCTCACATCCTGGGGTTCTCCAATAGACAAAATCAAATGAAGAGGATATAATCAGTATTTTTATAAATTTTATAAATTTATAAAATATGATTTTATAAATCATAGCCACATCCTCTCTCTTTCCATCTACTAGGTTTTATCCAATTTCTCCATTTTTGCCTAACCGTAGTGAAACTCCTGGCTAATTCAACTGAGTTTTACCTGATGCAGAAAGTCAGGTTTTCCCTTTATGCCCCATTCTGCACAGGATTTCCAAGTCCCCTACCTTTTCTCCATAAGGCTTGTAAGTATCCAAAATCACTAAAACATCAGGTCATTTGGTGGCAGGTATATCTGTTAACCATGGCCATAATAGTGTTATGAAGCAAACAACCCCCAAAATCCATGCTTTAGGACAACAATGGTGTATTCTTATAGATCTGAGGGAACTGCAAAGTCACATGGCAGAGGACATGAATAAAGGTTGGGGTAAATAATTGGGACACAATCTATGATAGCAGGATTTTAAGCTTCCTATCCTAGAATCCCTTCCATTCTATTCTTTGCACTATAAGAGGGAAATTCTTCATTCTCACTCGTACTCCAATGACTCTTTTTTTCTCTCCAGATCACCCTATTTTTAGTTCTATCCTTTCTCTCTCCCTTCTCCCAAAGCAGGTTCATCTAAAACTCCCACAGGGAAAAGCCAACTTCATGAGGCTGCCCCTGAAAATTCAAGTTGGAAGCATCTTGAGCCTTCATTTTGATTCATTAACTAGCTTTAGGTCTGGGCTTTTTATCTCTCTCCATCTTATCAGCCCTGCTTCTCTCTATGTGGCTTTATTCTTTACACAGCCTCCTTCCATGTAGCAGGCAAGAGGGCTGCCAGGAGCTCCAAACTAACATTCTCCAAACCCAACACCCCTTCTTCCAAAGTGTATACATTAACCCAACTCTGTTTGGGTCACTTGCTTATGCTTGTATCAATCACTATAACTAAGACAAAAGAATAATCTTATTAGCCAATCCTGATCATGTTCTCACCCTTGCAAAGGGTAGTAGGGGATTTTGCTATTACGACACCAGTAGGACCACATGGCATGGGAGAGGGATTATTCAAATGAACCAAAAGGATATTAGAAAAGCAAGCTGGCCAGACAAAAACTTTAGCTAGTGTAGTACATTAAAACTAAAGATTACAACACCTTTTTGGACCTATATACTACTCACTCCAAATATAATGGATCTTGCAGGATGGCTACTATTAATGCAAGGAATACCCCCCTCTCTTTCCCAGTTTCTGTATCCAATTATCTTCCATTTGCATGCATGAAAACTTTTTTTTTATGTAACTGGGAGAAGATAGAGGAAACTATGAGAGAAGAAGAAGAATATGAAGAAGAAAAAAAATGATACATGAGATGGGTTAATAGAAGTTCGTTCCCCACTGATTTCTTCTCATTGATTTTAGAGTCCTTTTGGTGAGAGAAGTCATTAAAAGGGAAGTGGATCAAAGAGGACTTTTGATATTCTGGGTCCAAAGAAAAGTTCTTTGGGGTCCAATTGATGTGGAACACCTTTAGAAAGAAGGTTCATTTACATGCCTCTTTATGGAATAAAATACCATCTTTAGCATCCCAAGGACGAGAGGTAGTAGAAGCATCCAGAACCATTGCCATCCTCATTTTGCTGGGTTGGCAATGGAGGCTACTTGAAGCAGCTTATCAGGTCAGATGTGGCAAGGGGAAGCCAAAGTAAGATCAAAAGGTACTTGTGAGGCACTCTTCTGAGACTGCAGAAAATAATATCCAGTTTGAAGAATTATTCAAATACTAAACTAAGTCATTTAATGTTATTGAAATCTTTAAGTTAAAAGAATATTCAAAGTAGGATAACCAAAAGATTAATGGTGGCACTTGTTATAAACTATTGTTCTTTCATTCATTTTTAAAACATTCTTATTAAGAAATAGTTAACATACATCACTGTGTAAGTATAGGGCATACAGCGTGATGGTTTGATTTACATATATCGTGAAATGATTATTACAATAGATTCAGCTAACAACCATCTCATATGGATACAATAAAAAGCAAAAAAATTCTCCTTGTGATAAGAACTCATATGATTTACTCTCTTTATAACCTTCCTATATACCATGCAGCAATGTTCGCTATAGTCAACATGTTGTACCTTATATCCCTAGTATTTATTTATCTTATAACTGGAAATTTGTACCTGTTGACCACCTTTCGCCAGTTTCCTCTCCCCCTACCCTCCATTTCTGCCCATCACAAGTCTGATCTCTTTTCCTATGAGTTTCTTTTTTGATTTTATTTATTTTTTTAGATTCCGCATGTAAGTGAGATCATACGGTATTTGCCTTTAGTTCATTTCTGCCAATAGAAACAAAAGGATAAATAGAGAATGAAATTTAAGAACATTAACTGTAGGGGCACCTGGGTGGCTCAGTCGGTTAAGCATCTGATTCTTGATTTTGGCTCAGGTCCTGACCTCAGGGTTGTGAGATTGAGCCCCATGGGGGTTCCACACTGGGCATGGAGTCTGCTTAAGATTCTCTCTCCCTCTCCCTTTGCCTCTCCCCCTCTCTCCCACTTTAAAAAACAAAACAAAACAAAACAAAAGAAAAAAACATTAACTGTATAATACACGTAATCATTAACTGTATAATATTGGTAATCACAAATATCTTATTTAAGGTAAGGTCATTACAAAACCAAAAAATACACATTTGAAAATGAAAAGAGCTTTTCTCTGCATATTTCTTCTTACATTCATTGCTTAATATGACAGATTATATTTTCATATTATTTAATATATCTCTATTGCAAATAGTAAGATCAGATGTAAATATAGCCATAATAAAAGCAGCAAAGCTTTTGTTTCCTCCCAGAGTCCAACATAAAAACAGAGCACCTAGATAGCAAAAGCCACAAACAACACCTACAACAAAACTAAGTGGCAAGATCTCCCTCAAATACAGCCAGGAAAACAAAGAAAAACAAAGAAAAGAATGATGAGCCTGGTGACAAGGACTATCCCTAGCACGCAGGGTGTTGATCAGACCAAGAAATGTACGAGACGAGCCTAGAAACTCCTACCATATAGTAAAGAAGATATCAAAGACCAACTGGTTCATGTGGAAACGCATTTGTGAGCCAAAATGAAGAAGCTCCCAATGGCCAAACTGGGTACAGACTGAGCTTCAGTAAAGATAAAAATTGCAAACTCCTCAGACACATCAAACCGTGAATTAATAATGACATAAAAATTGGTTACTTTCAAAGGATTACAGAAAACAAATTCATTAAAAACTGGCAACTAAATAAAGTTGCCTTTCTTATGTGAACTGTACCACTGAGCGACCAAACAGCAGATGAAAGGAAATATCTCTTAATAAAATGATTCTAGATCATAAATGCAAATAAAATGTTAGACTTAGAATATCACCATTTTGCCACCCCCAAGTAGTTAATGGATCGAAGCATCAACTCCTGCTAAGATAAGTGAATATGTCCCACGGGATAAAAGAACACATTACCTAGACTCTGGCCAAAGGGAATGAAGCTGAATCTGATAAAACTTCATTTTATTGTAAATTTACAGGAGATACAGAGGGACATAACTGAACCCCACCATCATTTTACAATCTGTAAAACCCAGAATGTGCAAAACTCTACAGGTCAAATGGCCTAGGTCAGTTAGCAGATAAAATATATGGAAAAGAAAAGGATAAAAGAGGAAATCTATAGATTTAAGAGGAGATTTTTTTTTTAATTTTTAGGTTATTAAACTTGGGTAAGTTTAAACTCCTATATTAAAGAATAAACCTTTGAGAGATGAAACCATCAATAAATGAAAGAAAATTATTATTCAAGAGTTAAGATGGGGCTTACTTTTGAAAAGAGGGAAGGCCTGCAGTTGGGAGAAGCACCTGGAAGCTTCCTGGGGTGCCAGCAACACCGTCTTTGTTGACCTGGCTGGTGATTTCATGGGTGCTCACTTAATAATATTTCACCAACTTGTACATTTGTTTTCTGTGGTTGCCTTTATCTGTATTTTCTTTTAAAATAAGAAGCACACATTACAAAATAATGAAGGGCAAAGAATAGAAATCGAAAATAATATAGAAAGGTTACCTTAAATTCAAGGCCATCTTTTAATTGGAACAAACCAGAGGCAATCATCTTGGGGCAGAAAAAAGGAGACAGACTGTCAGTCCCTGCCAGAGATGAGACCCTTGAGACAGCCAAGGGTCAGAGAAGCTGCTTCAGAAATCTATAACTTCTACCAGGTAAAACACACTGACATTCCAATCCCCAGACAAACAAAGAAAGTAATCACAAAGATACTTTCAAAAATAAATTATCAATGAATATAGTCAAGGCAAGGGGTTGAGAGGATTTTACCCTCACTATAGAGATCATATTCATAAAATGGGAAATAGAATCCACTAAAGGCAAATGCACTTTGTTACCAACTTTTCCAGAACAGCTCTGTTGTGGGAGCCTTGGGCCGCATTTTGTCAGTCCTCTTAACAGAAGCTATCAAACTTTGTCATATACTTCTGAGCAATAGTGACTCCTTAGTAAGCCAATATAAACTGAGTAACCTAAACGGGCAATTCAACTTGTCTACCCCCTCCAGGATAGAAGGCATTCATACATTACCCTTTCTTTTTTTAATTGAAATATATCTGACCTATAATATTGTATCGATTTAAGGTATACAACATGCTGATTTGATACATTTATGTATTGTAATAGGATAGCACCTCTAGCATGTGACATAATTATCATTTCTATTTTTGGGTTGCCCTTTTTTGAAGTAATTTATTCTCCATGTTAAGTCAGCTAAAAGGAATGTAACTGGAGTTCTTGCCCCAATGGGGCAAGCAGTTCTGTCCAGTCTTCCTACCTTGACACTTCCCAAGGCAAAAGACAAAAAGCTTAGACCAGGCTTAGTTGGGACAGATCGAGTTAGTGGCGCCATTTCTTTACCCACCGGCGTATCCACATCCTTTGCCGGGTAAACGAATAGTGCTTCCTCCCAGAGGCGTTCTCCCTACTTTCCTTCCCTCTTTTCATGTTGGTCTTGGCCAAGAGAATGGCCAAGACTGGATGTGGACAAGAGTGGCAACATGCCAATTCCAAGCTCAGGGCTTAAAAGGCATCACCTGTTTCCTTTTTCCTTCTTGCACTTCTGCCATTAACATGAGAGTTTCCCCAGGTCACCTCTGCCTTCTTATCTCAGACCCCAGGATGGCTAGACACAAAGGAGACCTGCGCCCAGTATGCAGCGAGAAGCTAAGCCCAGTGACATCCACAACTTGCAACAGAGCTGTCACCAAGCCGGCTTGACCAGCTGACCAACAGACACGTGAATAAGAATAAATGCTTGCTGCTTTAAGCCCTGGAGTTTGGGGTGGTGTGGTATGTAACAACAAGTAGCTGACACACCCACTATGCTGGTGATGTGTGTGATCATTCACACCTTCCTTAGAATGTCAGCCTTCGCCAGACTTGTTCCATAACTAAAAAGCAAAAGTGTGCCATTTTCCATATTTTGTTCTCTTATTTTGTCTTCTCCTTCAATTCTTGATTACACACTAAAAGAGAGGATAATGCGGGGCGTCTGGGTGGCTCAGTTGATTAAGCGTCTGTTTTCGGCTCAGGTCATGACCTTAGGGTCCTGGGATCGAGCCCCACATTGGGCTCCCTGCTCAGCAGGGAGTCTGCTTCTTCCTCTGTCCCTCACTCACTCCACACTCATGCTCTCTCTCACTCTCTCGCTCTCAAATTAATAAATAAAATCTTTAAAGAGAGGATAATGCAATTCAAGCTTCAGCAATACAATCCATGTATAAAATTCAGTACTATGTATATATATTCATCTTAGCCTTCATCCCTGGCCTCAACCTTGCTTTCTTTGCTCTCTTCCCAATGGTGTGATTGTATCCCTCGCATGGCCTGCATGAGTGGAGTACACGTATTCCCCCATTGTCTTTTGCCTCTATTCCTAGATCAGGGTTGGAAAGTGGGGTGGAGGGAAGAAAGCAAAGGGAGAGGAAAGCCTTGTTCCTGTTCATGTTCCATTTTAAACTGCATCCCACCTACAGCCCATTTTGTCATTTTTGAACCATCACTCTTACCTATGATTCATTTTTGCATGTTTTGTCATTCCCAATTTTGCAATTTCAAGACACTACAAAGAAATATGCCAGGCGATAAAGAAGATTCTCAGAAGGAGAAAACCGATGCTGTCTTCCCCCACCAGACACATTACAAGGATGGAGCAAAATTTCCAACGATCCTCCTGGAGGCAAACAAAGTGCCACAAAAAGACATCCTCATAGGTCTCCTTTTCATGCTGTGAGTCAGGATGAAGTAACAGATGCCTCACATTCCTCCTGGGAGTGTGGGGCTCTTCCCCAGAGAGCAGCATCTGGCCAGACAGGGCTGGATGACCAGGCATCACCACCGAGAAAGAGAGTGACCATGACGATTGGTGCCACCTTCCCCTGGAAGTTTCTCTCCTTCGGGCTGGGTTACAGCCTGGTAGCTGCCATGGCTGGAGTTCACATTCCTGATGCTCCAGAGTACTGAACTCTTCTATGCGGAATATCCTAGACCTTGGAGCCAGGGAATATTTTGGATGATCACTTTTTCACAAAACCTGAACAAAAAGTTGCATGACTATGTCAACACAATTAGGAACTGCCAAAGAACACTTGTACGCCAAAGTCTTCGGTTACCCCAGAAATACCTACTGAGGGAATGAAGCTGAACATTGAATGTGCACCATTTGCCAAGTACTTTATATACCTTATGCTTTACTCAGTTCTCATAACATCCCTATAAAATATCTATTTTTATTCCCATTCTACTGACAATGAGGGCCAAGGAAATTCAGTTACCTTACTTAAGGTTAGACAGTTGATAAAAGATGAAACTACTCGTGGGAAAAACAGGACATCTTAACAATTTCGCAGAGTTGTTGTAAAGAGAAGATGCATTTTTTATATGACGTCACATGGTACTTAGGTGTGCAAGAAAGGCTCATGTCTTCCTCCTTACCCCCCAGTGCCCACTCAACATATAGCACTCTCCTCATTCACCCATTCACTCATTATTTCAACAAATTCATACCGAGTACCTTCTCTGTCAGAGACTGTGCCAAGCACCGGGATGTCCAGCCCTCAAAGATAGATACAGAGATTAAAAAAAAGAGGGGGGTTATTCTCAGATTACACACTATATACTCAGTCCATTTTGCAGGAAACCTTTTGATTAATAGGAGCTTCACTCTTGTTAAAGTAACCAGATTAAACCCAAGATGGAGTCACTCATGCTAAGTTCCAAACATCCTCAAACTAAACTTAACAAATTTCTAGGCTCAGATATACCAGAAAAGGAGGCTCTATTTCATCCAATAGGTGCTTGCCTGCTGGCACAAGGTACCTCACCCAGCTGCAGGACTTCCCTTTGCTCCCTGTAAAGAAAGCAACCCTGCTTCAACCAATGAGCAAATGCACAGTCTAACTTGCTTGTCCTTGCCCTCTGTGGTCTATCACCTTGCTTAGGCCTTCGGAGCTCCTTTCTTATCTGCTAGATCGGATGCTGCCCGACTCATGAATTGCTGAATAAAAGCCTAGTAGATCAGTAAATTGTCTGTGGAGGATTTTCCTTCAGCACTCTAAATATGGCAGCAGCATCTGCCAGACCATTCTGCCACCCAGGATTCCTGATCATCCCCAATGTGGGAGCCAAGCCCTGCTTTATTTCCTTAGGCCTCCAGAAGCTGTTTTCTCCTGGGAGAAGGTTAATGTGTGTTTGGAAAAAGGATAGATGGGCTCCAGTCAAATCTCCACAGTCATCAGTTCATTATGTCATCTTGACTTGGAAACTTTCATTTAAATTCACCTCTCATCCACAATAATGATGATGGGATGCAATCAAGCCAAATATTAGCTCAAATCAGGGGTTTGTTAACTTCCTAATTAGCTCATTGTGGCTGCTGTGTATATAACAGGCAGACCCTAATGACAACCATTTAAACTTCCCTTTGTCTTACTCACTCTTGAGTATTTGGGTCTTTCTGTATTCACCTCCATAGCAAATCCTGCTGAAGCCTAGCATGGGCTCTGAACCAGAAGACTGATTTTCAACTACTCAGGTTATACTGCCCATATCCAGCACGGGGTTGCAACCATGCTCTTCTCTCTTTCAAAGCTCTGAGAGGCAACCTCTGCCCCAATGTACTCTGACACAACCTCAGGCCCATAGCCACCTCTCATTCATTCAATGAGTCGATGAACGAGTCTTTCAGGGCATCCACTGGGTGTCAGCTCTGCGCTAGACTGTGAGTAGGAAGGATGCACTCCTGTCCTCAAGGAACAGGTAATATCATTAGGGAGGCAAAGGTCACCAGGCACTTGCCATTCAATGTGACAGGAACCATGGTAGGGAGAGTAAGGTGCTGCAAGGGCCTGCAGGAGGGGGACCTAACCCAGCGCAGGGAGAGCAGAGTAGGCTTTCTTGAGGAAGTGACATTCTTCTCCTGAAGGAATTTCAGATTAAGCAGACAAAAGGAGTGTTTTGGGGGCAAGAGGGACATGAGTGAAAATGGAGAATGGGGAGAATATTTCAGGCAAAGGATGACGTGTATGCAAAAGCTTCAAAGGTGAAAAAGAGAATGGTCCTCTGTAGAATTTTTTTTTAACTTCAGTATTTTTTAATAGAAGTTCTATCACAGGAGGAGAGTGGACAAGGTAACTTTAGGAGATAAGGACACTTATTCAGATCTCCTTGCTCCATGTGAAAGAATACAGACATAATTACGAGCCAGGATCCCCCTGTAGAGCATGCTAGAATAACAATGATTATCTATGCTCTACTTTTGGAAGCCTGGTTCATCGCCCTCTGTCCATATGTCCAAAGCCAGTTCAAATGGGAGGTTATTTCTAAAGATTTCAATTGAGGTCTTTATTAACCTCCTCTGCTAATATCATAACTGTTATCCCTGCCTTCATCCCCTCTATATTCTATTCCAGTGACACCTCCACCCTCAAAGAGCTACCCACTCTAGTGGGCTAGAGGAGATACATGTTCTCTGTAACCCTTATGAGCCCAGATACTTGTGTGGTCCAGTCTCAGGGTAATGCCATGATTAAAGAAACAGAGTGAAGTAATTAAAATAAATTTCATCACAAGTCAAAGTGCTTCTTGACTTAAATGTTACAACTAAAGTTTCTTAAATACTGAAAACAAGATCCAAAGACAAAGTATATGAAAAAACTTATTAAAATCCTCCCTTTCTTGACCGTCCACTTGATTTCATGTGCCATAGCTGATTCTCTCTTTAAACACCACCCTCCTGCTCCCCTTCCACCCATAGTTTCTAGTTTTCTTCTCTTCTCCAAGAAAAATACTTCTTCCAGATCTAGACCACATGTCTCTTGTCCTCTGCAACCTTCCCTCTTCTTCTCTCTCCCTGTTTTAGCTCTGTATCTGTTTAGATGCTTTGGGCTGTGAGTAGCAGAAAACCCGACTAAAATTGGTTTAAACAATGGGATCTTTATTATCTATAACAGAGACCAGTAGGTTTATTTCAAAAAATTTCCCCTATTTTTGGCTCACAGCTAAACTATGTCTCCAGGCTCCCTGTGGTTAGATGGGGCTGTCAATTTTTAAGTTCTCTCCAACTGAATATGAGTGGTAGTAAGAGGTCACTCTTCTGATTCTGGGCTCATAAAACCTCCTTAACGTACATTTTTTCCATGCTCTTTCTCTTTCCAGTGGCTTAATACAAAGGAGAAAGCAGAGCAACAAGATGGAAGAAACCTGGGTCCCTGAATGACTATAAGGAAAATGATTATCCCCACTGGCTTGAATATCATTATATGAGCAAGAAATAAATTGCCTTAAGTTGTTGAATTTAGGGGGTTTGATTTTTTTATAGAAACTTCGACTACCCTAATAAATTATTTTACTATATGAAAGAGAAGAAAAGAGATAGAAGGAAAAGAAATAGGTTTGAGTTGGCATCTCAATGATAACATCAAGGACTTGGGCTCTTCCTACTTTCTCTGTTCTTCTCTGCTCTGCCCAGTGTGTTGGCAAAATCTCCCACCACAGCTGCAGGATATCCACTGCTGCAAGCATCACACTCTCACCCAAATGGTCCAGAAGAAAAAAATGAAAGGATTTCTCATATATGTCTCTTTTATCAGGAAGTAAAATTTTCTCTAGAACCCCTCAGCAAACTTCCCTTTATTTCTCACTGGCCAGAACTGGGTCATACCCCTCAGTCATTAGCAAAGGAGTTGAGAACACCATGACTAGAGAGAGCTAACTGATTCATCCCCTAAGACTG